CGCCTCCCTGGCTGGCGCTCCTCAGGGAGCGCGAGGCCCCAGCCACGGCCATTGATGTGTCAGGGCACGAGGAAGGAGCCGCCGGTTGCAGTTAAAAGAAACGAAGAAAGCTAAAAAACCCCCAAAGAATAGAAACAGAGTCCGTGCCCATCGGCTCCGAAGGGACAGGGCCGCTGAGCCCCGCTGCTCGGGTTAAAATCCAAACTGGAAATAAAATAGCCTTGGTTAAAAGAAGGGCCCCTCCGGCCCCCTTGCATGGGAAGGCAGCCTGGGCACGAAGGGCATGGCGGGGTAGGTGGGAGGTGGCGGAGCTGTCTGCTCTCATTCGCTCTCCGGGCCCGGCCTCTTGAGCACGGCACTGTACTTCAGGGGGGCGTTGTCGGCTTTGAGCACCACATCGACCAGCGTGAAGAGGGTGATCACCTTGGGGAAGGAGAGAGAAGCTGGTGTGAGGCAGTTCATTGGGGGCTGGAAGCTCCCCCACAGGAGAGACCACTGCCAGGATGCCCCAAGCCGAGGCCTTGTTGGGGGAGAGCTCGTCTTTAATGGGGAGAGGCAGCTCCACACTGAACGTGCCACGCTGCCCCACGCATGCTCCCTCTCCAGCTGGCCGGGGCATTGCTGTCTCGCTGTGCCCAGGCCCTGGGTGGATCAGACCCCCCCTCTCCCCACGCCAGCGGCACCGCCGTCTGGCTTGTCCATGCAGGGGGCAGCTCTGGGGCAGGCAGGGGCTGCTTCTTCCCAGAAGAACGGCTTGGAACAGGGAAAGCTGCTTACTCAGGGAGCTCGGGCCGAAGGTCAGCAGCGAGCAGAGAGGCTCCTGAAGGCACTCCCGGCATTTACAGCCATCTCCTTGCCCTGAGAAGGGACTCTCCACCCGGAAACTCTCTGCACATCAGCCACAGACACATGCTAAAGAACCGATGACCCCAGGCAGGACCTGCAACGCCCGATCCTGCGCCCCGGGCACGTGAGTGGAACTGTGCCGATCCACACAGCCCTCAGCGTGACCGGGATCCAGATGCCTGCTCCTAATCTGCTCCAGGCACAGGCTGGAGGAAGGCAAAGCCTGGCGGGCGGGCAGGTGGGAGCCCTGTCCTGTGCATGGGCAAAGCCAGCGAGCAGCTAGAGCGATTCCTCAGCTGATGGAAATCTGCACGGTTGCACCCAGCCCCATGATTTCAGCGCCCGCAGTGATCTACCCCGGGGGAAGCTCTGGGCCCTGCAGCGGTAGGCCAGATCCTGCCAGCACCGCCTGGTATGGGGCTTGCTGTGGCCAGCCTCCACTCCGGTCCCAGTGGATGTGGGGGTCTGGAGTGCCTGCAGGACCTTAGCCTTCCTGACAATGATGCTGTGCCCCTAGGTAGACTGCAGCACCCCGGCAGGCCCACTGGTCCTGGAAGCACTGGGATGCAAGACATGGACTGAAGGCTCCAGTGAAACCTAAGGCTGGGGCCTCAAGTCTCTTGGATCTCATCCAGCCCCATTCTCTTCCCCCCCAGCGCTGGTGGGATGTTGAGCTCTCTGAGATGGGCACGCTCTCATGGATGTGCCCCTGCAGTGCCCTCCCTGTGGCACCTGCTCCACCTCCATCCTAGGAGGAGCTTTCCCTGTGCTGTCCTCTGAGAGACTCTGGCTGTTGTGTACACGGGGTGCAGCGACTGGGCTGAAACCTGCCCTGCCAGCCCTGCTGCCGCTCCAGAGGAGCCGTGGGGATGAGGCCAGGTCTCCTCTGGACTCAGGTAAA